TTCTTGGTAGCAGGAAAACCAGGAGCTAATGTCATAGACTTTACATGCATGTGTCTTTCCAGACCTGGTGTGGTGTGTGTTTTATTGTAGATCTTTGTGCCCCTGGGCCCTAGCACAGTGGCTGCCATATCTTTAACCTCTGTCTTTGCCTAAGGCTGAGAAGGCAAAATTCTTTCTCTGGGTTTAACTATTTCATTATCTGAATTTAATTCTTGGGTCTTCTGTCATTATGACCAGAAACGAATTCCTGCTATTATTTTTTAAATGTATCAGAATGAAATGTATGCACCAGAAACTTGTTAGTGTCAGTACCAAATACCTTCTTTTTTTCTCTAAATAATCTCAAAACAGGGACTGTGGATCTAGTAACTAACAAGTGTTCTTTTTAAAATCCACTTACTTTTTTTAGAGTTAGGAAATAACCCTTTAATTTTTATGTATCCGTTTTCTGAAATTGGATTTGTGGCGAGCAAGCCCAACTCGAAAACCACCTTGCTCCTTCTCTTTTCAGTATTTGGTGTCAGCCACCGCGAGGCCGTTTGCCAGAGCACTTGATCTGTTGATTCAGTAAACATTTGCTGTTCGATAATATACAAAAGAAACTCAAGATTACGAGCGCAGGCTACTATCAGCTAATATTTACTGAGCGGTTCACTCGCCTGGGGCTGGCGCTGGGCCACGCCCTTCGCCCTCATTAGTTTTTGTGCACCCTCGCTGGCTGAGTCAGCCTTTGCTAAGTCTACCTGGCCGCCTGACCTAGAGGGTTAAAGTGATTCGGGTGCCCCCTTCCCTCTAGTAAGAGAAGTGCCTGGTGCAGCCCTAGCCTCAGACGATGACACCTCACTGGCTTCCAGGCGCTCTGGGAAGAGAAGGTGATGCCCAGGACGGACGGCCGGGCGAGGGACTCCAGCCGCCACCTCCCGAGCTCCAGAGGCTCCAGTCCCAGGTCTGCTGCTCGCTCCCGCCTGGGCCCGAGGCCCGGCGTCGAGGCGTCTCCGTGGTGCCGGGCACAGGCAATTTCTAGTGCTCTCTTCAGATTTCACATTTATTACACACCAAAAGCGTCAACTGACTCCGATTCGCTATTTATTTCTTGGCACCCGCAGCGGGCCTGGCAGGACGCAAAGTCTCTCCCTTCAAGGCTCCCGCCGACCCTTCCCCATCTTTGTGCGTCTCCGTGTGGCCCGAAGGACAGGGTCACTGCTCAGTGCAGAGCCCTCCCAGGCCCCCAGCACGGACAGGAGGGAAGAGGATGCTCGACACCCTGTGTCCGGGGCAAGGTGACAATGGCCGGGCGGCCCCGAAGCCCGGGTCGAAACCACCAACTCCGAACGCTACGGTGACCAGGCGCCGTCCTGCACCGGGAGTGGAGGGAGAACGCCCCGTCCGGGGCTGCTCGCACGCGAGGAAGAGGACAGAGGGAGCAGGCGAGCCAGAGCGGGCGGCGCAGTGCAGACCGGTGTTCAGGGAAGGCTCCTCGAGGGGCGAGGGCGCTCCGGAAGTGGGGACCAGTCAGCGTGGCCCGGAGGGCTCAGGACCCGGGAAGAGGGGACGTAGAGGGAAGAAGCGCCCTTGGCTGACGCTGACAGCGCCCCCCGCCCTTTAAGGCGGAGCATCTGGGCGCGGGCGTGGTGGGCGGTGCCAGGATCCACCGAGGCCTC